GTCTCTCTCTCTCTCTCTCTCTCTCTCTCTCTCTCTCTCTCTCTCTCTCTCTCTCTCGCTCTCGCTTTCCTCCGTCTCGCTCGTCTCCGACTTTCTCCCTTCCTCCGTCGCGCTCCAACCCCGCGCGCCCTTCCTCCCCCGCTTGTTTCCTCTTTCTTTTTCTCTCGCGTTCGCTCTTTTTCTCTTTTCGCGTACACACAGATACCCGGCGGCATGTACGCGGACGCGCGCGCGCTCACGCGGCGCCATCGTCGTCGTCTTCCTCCGCTCCTCTCTCGGACGCGCGCACAAAAGCGAGGGAAAGAGAGAGGGTACGATATTTTTCAGGATGGGATATTTAACGCATTGGCCAGGTCAGTAACCCCGGGCGAGTGGGGCCCCGCGATTGGCCGGCCTCGTCGGCGTTCTGCCACGAATTCCCGGTCCCTCATTGGCCGAGCCGGGCCCTAGACCTACACCAACGCCCTGCGTATTGCGTACACACACGCACTGCGTTCTACGTGCTCGCGGACGCCGACGAGCCGAGCCGGGCCGAGATGGTGAGCCAAGCCGCGGCACGCAATGCCCGAGCGTGTACTGTGCGTGAGCGCGTATGCGTGCTCCGTAGGGCACGCGATACGTCATAGCGCGCCGATGTTGCAGCGCGGTGCAGCGCGGTGCACACCGTCGAAGAAACGTCGTCGAATGAAACCGCGAGCTCCCGATGCACCGGCGAGAGCGCGCGAAGCGTTAGCGAGTCGCGCACACTCAACGCGGTCGAAGATTGCGTTAAGCGAAGGACCTAGGTACGATAAGAAGATAAGTCTGAAGTCTGAAAAGGAGCGTCTTTCGCTTCTTCCGTTTAAACAGCGAAATTGTACACGCTGTGTTGAAAAGTATGAGCACTATTTTCTCTAATAGTTATTTTTTTTTATATAAATAGCACCATTGCCAAAACTTAAATATTAATATCAACTTCTACTTTATTTTAAAACTTATTTTAATTCTTCTAATTTTTTTTTAAATTTTTACATGCAAAACCTAAGACTGTTTCATTCACCAATTTCTAACTTTATTTTGGAAGTAGTACATGTCCAATTTTGAAAATTACGACCACCAATTCGATACAAATACTATGTCAGTATTAATAACTTTTTCAATATTCGACTTTTGGAATCAATAAAATAAATGTACCAAAAAGGCGGCGCAGATGTTAAACTTCCAGTCGGAATATAAACAAATTTGAGAACAACTAGGACAGCACATAGAGAAAAATCACACTAGTCGCTCTGCGCGCGTGGCATACTAACTGGAGGTACGCAAGCTGTTCGTGCGCTCTCACGCTACCGGAACAGATTTTTCAGTCGTTTTCGACCGCGAAGGTGACCGCAGTGAAGGAGTCGAATTTCAATGACCAACGTCATTGAAATTCGACGCAGTTAAACGAGGAAAATAGGTCGTGGGACGAACACATGCCGTTACGTAAATTCGATTGTAAATGTCAGAAAATATTTTTATCGCGTATCTAAAAACCCACGTGTCACAGGCGACAACGAATAATTTTAGCAAGCTGGAAAAGTATTGAAATACATTCGCTCTGCGTGCTGCGCGAATTAAAAGATGTACAAATCTTTCTTGCAAAGGACTGTAGCATTGCACACATTATCGCGGATAATGCGATCGAGATACTTTCCAGTCGCGCGGCGGATTTTTGTTTACTCTACCAATAAATCTCATATTCGCGATATGAAACCAAAACCGACAGCGCACGTACGCATTTTCATTTACATGCCGTGTGTATCATTATATAAACGATTGCAAGCGCGCACGAATTAAAACATAATAAGATAACGGATTTAATTAAAAATGTTTGCGAGCGGCAAAAACCCATTCGATAACTTCGATAATTCGATACCGGCAGATTTTTCGACGATCCATCTCGCAGCGTGGCCGCCCGATTAAAAGTTAACCCGGCGTATTTCCATCGCTGTTAATGTCGAACTCGCATTGGATAATATTCCAATAAACGCGTCGTTACTGATAACTGTCGCTGCATGACCGATAATTGGATGATGTTACGCTTGCACGATCCGCGATTCTCCGCTTGTCTGCAGAATTGAAAAAAAAAGACCGAGCTAATTTTCTTCTTCGTAAAGTTATTAATGCTTGCAAAAATTATTAATAATACATCTGAATTGATTGAAAACCAAATATGATGAAAAAATAATTAAACAATATTTTTTCATGATAAATATATGCAAACTACGCGTAATTTATATATAATTATGTATACTTGATTTTTCTTTTCTTTTTTTTTGCGTAATTACTCGAAGCTTAAGAGGATAAAAAAATGCGCGAAAGAGTTGTTGCACATTGAATAAGTATGAAGTCAAATAAAAAATTTATTCGACGGCTTAAAAAAATTATGAGGACTCCAAAGTACGTTCTTAAGAGTTATTCACATAAATTGCACGGACGTAATTATCGTTTTTTTTTTTTTCGCGAAATTGACGTGAGCATCCGGAACAAAGAGTGCACGGCTCTAGTTGTAGACCAGTATATTTAGATATTGGGGAAAAATCCAGCAACGATTTCCCAGCGCGTTGGCGTGACTTCATTTCGCTCTCCGGGCGGTTTTCAGTGCGCGTCGCGACGTTAGTAACGTAAAGGTTAAAGGAACGTGGCGTACGGTTAAGAGCCGTTAACGTCTCGGCATAACCGAGCGAAGTGTCTGCGTGTGCAGCAGTAAGGCGTAAAGATAGAGACGGAGAGAGAGAGAAAGAGATAACTGCGTTCGGATGTAGGCTACCAGAGTCACGACCCTCTTCCTCTTCCTCGCGCGCTGCAGTTTCGCCTTCTTCCTCGTCTGCCTCTTCTTGTTCTCGCTCCTCCGTCCCGTCGCCTCCCTCGGAGGTCAAACGCTGGTCGAAGGCGATCTGGTCGATGTAAGACGCTTAAACATAACTTGTAAACGTTTATTTCCGACTTAATCAGCAGCGGAATCATGCATACCGGGTGACGATGTGTTTACGGTATCGCGTGCCTCGTAACGGATCTCGGAGAAAATACTGGATCGCATTGCTCAAGAAGAAATAATAGCGCAATAATCGTTAATTCTAATGTCATCACGGGTATATCGGTTTTATACTTCACTTTGCATTTGTAATTACATACAGATCTTTTTCAAACGTGGAATATTTAAATAAGCTCAAAATAAGATGAATGACTATTATAGCTTATTTAATAAGCAATGAATTAAGGATCAGTATCGTAGACTCCATTTATCATCAAATTATTATTTTTAAAGCGTCGACAATAATCATAATATTATGTGATCATCTTTTGATAGATTAATATATTTATCAGAAATGTATAATCTTGTAATATTATGTTTAATGTATTTCAGGATTCTGTGAGTATCCGAAATCTCCTGTACTCGATAACCGGATTGAGATGGGTTTTATCGATTTGGGTTTGTGTGAGTTGAAAATCCGGACGTCCCTATGTGAGTACTATTTATACATATATTTCGAAAATTTGTGATATTCCTTCAATGATGCGATTGCATCTCAGGTCTTCTTCAGTCATCGAAAGTTTCAAGTACTTGTACATAGCAATCAATCAGTCACGATTTTTTCAGAAATTTGGAGAATCGAAATTTCACTCGCCGAAAATTTTATTGCAACATATTAATCTGAACTATTGAATTTACAATACTTTAATAATTAATTCTTAATTAAAATCTTAGATATCTTCTGAAATATGCGCGTTTATTAGAAAATATAATTTTTTTCGTTCCTTTTAAGTTTAATCACTTAATTTTCGATTTACCAATTTTACCAAAACGTTTAAAAATAAGAGAAAGCGCGATGATATTCGATATATTCTATATGTATACAGTAAAATCCTAATTTTCGTTCTTTTTTATTGCTTCGCCATAAGCTATCCGCAAGAGTTTATGCATACAGTCTTTGCGGCCTGTGTAAGCCCTCCCAAGATCATTGCTCCTCCCTTTATCTTCAGGCAATGAGCAAACGAGAATAAGCTTAGGAACAAATTGCGGCGGATTTCGACGAAGGCTAAACATTCTGCCGTCGTAAAATGAAAAATATCAAATTAGTTCTTTTAGAGCCATGGAATTTAATTTCGAAATTATCCTTCCTTCTTGCAATCCTCTCTTATATAAATTAACTTCCATTTTATTATATTTTTAATCTTTATCTGTTTTTATTTTTAATTTGTATACACACAAAAATGCAAAAAACAAAGTAGTTGAAAAATTTTTTACACTTTTTAATTAGTGTGTATCTTTTTCGCATTAATTATTTTTTTTATTCTTGAGAAGGTTTCTTTATAGCTTCTTTTCTAGCCCATTTAATCGGCGATCATTGACCTGCTCTCAGTCTAGATACTGCAAACGAGAGTCGTTCAGAACACGCGGCGACACGATGGGCACACGCGCGCACATATAGCCGTGAAACTTTAAGTAGGCCATTGTACGCTTGACATTACGCCTTGCTCTCGCGAACGTGCGAACCAATGCGAAAACGGGTTGCGACGCGTTTTCCGGCGGCCGTGATAACTCGTATCGACGGACTCTGGCCCGACGATTGAGAGTAAAAGGCGCTCGTGGTCGTTGTGTACGGGGTTCGCGTGTTGTAATGGCGCGACCAGCAAGCTGCAAGGCTAAGGCACCGCCTTCAACCGGTAATAGATTAGCTGGTAGGTACGTTACGCAGAGAGAGCGGTATAGCGATTGCTGCACTTGGACTTGCACTATGAAGCTCGCGCTTGGCAGTGGGATCGAAGGGAATGGGGAGAAAGAGAAGGAGAGAGAGAGACAAAGAGCGTGACAGAAGAGGGGAGGAACGGGGGGACAGGTAGCGATTACGGTAACAGATAGAAAGAGAAGGAATAATAGCTATCAACCTACTCGCGAGACGAAATGATTAAGGCCTGTGTGTAAATTGGTCGGATTCGAAAATTGCATGGAACGCAAAATTAGAGGCGAGGAATTGTGGTTTTCGTGTTTTCAGACAGTGGACAGGAGAACAGTGGTGTCGATCGCGTACGAATGTTGCGAAACGTGACAGCCGAGTTTTTCATTGGCATCAAATGCGGGAAAATTGCAATGTCGGTGAAATTAAAAATTCTATAATAAAGATGCATAATTAATTTTTGGAATTTTTACACGGCCATGAACAAGCTGCCACCTGCATGCGGTATAGAAATAATTTCTCAGCGGTACGATTGCTCGATAACATTCCTCTTTACGTTGAAAACGATTAACTCTTACGTTAACACGTAACGCGAATGAAACGCGATAACAGCTGTTTCTACTACTGGTAAATGCTATTCCGCGATACCTAACTGCAAACGTTACGATCGTAACAGTTTCTTCGACTGCAACGATAATAATATATTGAAAAGCACGACACTTAATGATAATTACGAAATGAAGTACGCACTCAAGTGCACGGAAACTTTCTTTCCCTTTCTCGGTGGTGTTTAACACCTTTTGAAGTCTCGAAAATTCTTTTCTGGCACGCAGCATTCATTCATATTTCATTAGCTGTATGTCTCTTTCTTTTCACTTTTCTCGTCTCGGTCCAGTGCCACTCTAGCCGAAATTGGATATACTTGAGTGTCATCCTTTTAATTCACCGCAATTACGTGCCAGTTTGCATGGATTTTTTGCATATCTCATCGTAAATAATAATTGATAAATAATTTAAATTTTAGAATTTTTGTTGCATAATCCTAATATTATTTTTATTGCATCGATTCAAATATAATAGTAAATTTGCGCACTTTGTCTTATCTACACATTATTTTAACAACTTACGATTAATTTCTATTTAATTAAAAATCGAGTCCGTATAACTTTCGAATTATAGTTAATTAATGATAATATTTTTCTTCTATCTTTAAAGCATTTGAAGGTATGCAATTTCAGTACACCCAGTACATGTGTCATACATTGTCATACGTAGTAATTTACTTTGAAATATTGTCGCGTTGGTCGTGTCCGAGAAAAGTTCTTTTATCCGCAGAGTACTTCAACCCTTAACTCTCGCGATTGAGACTGATTGCTACTCAAGAAACGTTTTCAGTTTCCTTGAAATTCTTACGGTTTCGTGAAGTAGAAAATGGTACGCTATACTTTAACCGGTGAACGGATATTTTCAGCTAATAAGCTTTGCAAATCATATAATGTTTCACTCATACAACAGACACTTTAATTATTTGTACTTTCGCATATCATTTCTGAAATACCTCGTTTATATCCTCGCTAAATAGTGCAATCTATTCGTACAACTGCTTATTCATTCAATCGGGACGTGTTTTAAAATACATTTTTATAATTTTGTAAGTTATGTTAACTTTCAACGTTTATTAAATTAAAATTAATATTATTTATATCCTTGCATATATATTGAAAATTTTGCAAATTTTATTAGCAAAGTTTGTTGGCCCATCGCCTTAAAAATGCCCTTGATCTTATCGTGTCTTCTTACTTGCATTATACATTATGCGGACGTAAGGATTACGTGAATTCACGATCTCAAAATTCCACCGAACAAAGAGACAATAACTTAATAAACTTTCTATCCCACTCATGAAACTCGCCTTGAAGTTGCCAAATTTTTCTGAGGTTTCTGTAGAACGGAAATCTTAAGATAAGCTTTTCTGCGGTAGCTTGCAACGCTCAGTTTCGGATGGCTGCAGAAAGTTGCCGAGCAAAGATAAGTAGTGTTAAAAAGAAGATGTTGTAAAATCGCATCTTCTTGCGAAGGATAAGAAAGGCGGCTGAAAGTGTACAATATAGAGATATTGGGAGAGAGGAGTATCCTATAGCGGTATGCTATGTGGCGGTATGCTAGATATGCTTTTGGCGGTCACAGTCAATGAGATGGTCTACTCGATCTTGCAGGTATACTCGATTGCAAGTAGCTCAATTACTATATCTCGCATATTGCACATATGCACGTACGTATCAAGCTCAATATCAAGCAATATACATATATGGGTATGCAGATACCACTCTTGTGTGTATATGATAAATTAATATAAATATTTCTCAAATATATCTAAAAGTTGATATATTTTTCTATTAATTATTATTACAGTTGATATCGCATTATGACATATTTATCACATTTTGTAACAAAAATAAAAAGAATAGCGGGAGTGAAAGTATTCTTCTTTGCATCAATGATGTGTGAAAGATTTAGTTGCAACTAATTTTATTATAATATATAAGTATTGTTTATGCTACTTATATATATGTCTATATTGCTTTATTAATATAAATTGCATTGTTGAATGCATTAACAATTTTAGAGCGAATCGTTATAGTAATCGCTCCGGTATGAATTAACGACACACAGGCCGATGCACTTTTATAGATATAAATCGTCGATATGCAAACAGAAAAGTATCACTTACAATTAGATAAGCGCGGGGAAAAAAACCGGTTAGCGCACCCCTTATTTTCCAGACACCATTGACAGATAAAATACACGGGAACAAAGCGGTTTATCGGGAGAAAAAAGTCCGCCGTCGCCGGAAAAGCCAGTTTTGTCGATGAGATCGCGTTACGCGCAGCGACGCTTTTAATAAGCTTAATTCCTCTAATCGTTTAAGCGTAATTCCAGCTACTTGCTTAGTCGTGGCAAGCGATTGGACATAAGTGCAGACGCTTTTTACGCTTAAGGTCAAATCTACCCACGCGCATTATCCTCGCAGAGGTGTTTATTAAGAATGAAACCTTTATTGCTCCGCGCATAGGTGCGTGCGAAATAATGAAAAGCGGAAACAAATGTACAGGAGCGGAATAATTTTATAGTTTAATCACACGGCATTCGTAATTACAATCACGTCGCGCTCGCGTACGAGAAAACCCGGAAGAGACTGCTTTCGTGCGCTTGGCTTTTAATTAACAATATCAGCGGTTGTCGGGGAACCGATCTGACGCCCGCCGCTCCCCAACGCGTATCTCCTCGAGAGATGCAACCGCATCAAAATCATCGCGGTGACGGACGGAGCGTTAATCGCGGCGGATACGCGATGTTTCCACAGTGCGCGACAAGCGGTGGCGCCGACCGGCAGCTTTTAATTCCCTTGAGGGTTGTAGTCGAGCACCTCGTAACTTTTGTAATTAAATCAAGCGCTCGACTCGAAATGCGCGTACCGTGGAATAGTCGTCGTCGTTCTCGTGTATTCCTCCCCTTTGGCCCGGTCTTTCGTTCTCTCTCTCTCTCT